AAATGTTTTGACCCCTAAAACCCTAAAACCCTCAAAACTAAACCCTACTATAATATAGTTAGCCCAAACATAAATGATATAATGAATAAATAATTTTGAAAAGTGGTATTTTTGCAAAGATTTTGAAAATGTTGCATTTTTGAAAAGTGGCACTTGAAAAATGGCATTTCTTAAAATTTCTCATTCAATTAATATATAGAGGATTAGTGGCATTTTAAAAAAATTTTCAAAATGGTGATATTTTTGAAAAGGGGCATTTCTAAAAAATATGTGTATTTAGTCTAACTATCATGCAAATTAAATTTTGTAAGATAAAATATATTTATCTATATTGGAGATATATCTTTGTTATTTTTAATTTCTTCCATATATAAAAAATCACGATTTTTTTCGATTATTCTAATCCCGTATTTAACACATGTAAAAAAAAATGTAATAGTCATTGAAAAAAAAAGATATTCTCACATATACTTTATATTTATTAATAAAGTCTTCATATTAATTACCACATATTCCTTGCTTTCATATTGGTTTAATAGTTATAATATATTGTATATGTGATATCAATTTAGTCTAATTATTTACACAATAATGTTATTAAGAAATTTTAATAGCTTTCCTTAAAAATTCCTTAAAATTCTCTTTGGATGACACCTAGAATTTTCACTTAGTGTCTCCTCTAATAATATATAGAGTATAAGCGTAGCAATGGCAACAAATTTTGATGAATATGGTGTTTATAGTAGAAGTATAGTATGCGCGCGTTCTCAATCTATTCAGAGGAATTCGTGAAGAGTAAAAAAACTTATTTTTTCTTTTTTTTTTGTCTACCTCGTTTATTTCTATAAATTTTTGAAGAATAAAATAATTTTGGTATTTAATACTGTGAATTTATTATTTATAGAAATTAATTATGCATGATTGTTAGTTTTAATTTGTATAAATAATAAATTCAATGTATTAAATACCAAAACTATGCATGATTGTTAGTTTTAAATTTATATTAGTTAAATATACAATTACATATTATAAACGTTAAAAAGAGGGAGGTAAAGAGAGAAACTTTCTCTCCCTTCTCACTAAAAACTTCATTTTTTCTGTTCAAACCGCCTAACTTTTCCGACATCCGGCGCTTGTCGGTGTTGTGAGAGGACCCGCCTCCATCCCTTTTTTACCCTATGGCTCTTCATCCGTGGAGATCATTCCCTGAGAGATGATTTTGGGGTGCCCTTGCTGGTTCCTTGGCGGCGATGCATGTTTGATTCCGGCGTGGCCTCTCGGCGGCTAGGTGGTAGCTTCAGGTGGTGGTCCTCCTCTCGGATCCTCATCGACGGGATGTGATGGCGTCGATCTTCGCTTGTAGTTGTTGATGAACTCTAAGTTTGGTCTCACGGCGACGTCGGTTTAGTTACCCGTGTAGTGGTAGATATGAGATCGAYGTGGCGATGTCTGATCTGAAAATGACCGAGCCACACGATAGATCTGGTCGGATGTCTCATCCAAGAGATGGATCTGTTAGGGGTTGACGGGTCCTCCCTCTCGGTTGCATTTTCCCGGCCAGATCTACTTGCTATGGTCTGATCCCCCTCATTCGGTGGTTTGCTCCTTTGATGTAGGTGATGCTTCTTCTCGGGTTTGTTCTCCGACCATTCTTTTGTTTCTCTGTCTGGTTTTGGTTCTAGGTTGTTTCGGGCTCGGTGGAGGCTGACTGTTCCACTTCACCAGTTCATCATGTCCTCCGTGTCGGTGGAGGCCGGAGTTGCGGGAGCGACTTCGATTGGAAGGTTGTGTGTTCCCATATCCTCAGATCGGCGCTAGACTCGGCGTGTTTTGGCGTCGGTTCTGTGGGGACAGTATGTCTCGGTTCGTTTGCACCCTATGTCGATAATCGAGGTCGTCACGTGCAGCTTTCGGTATTCCACCTGAGCCGAGACTTATATGGTCATCAGAGTTCGGCTCGACGGTGGGGCAGCGGCGGCAAAAGTTTGGCCGGCATCTGCTTAGAGAAATTATGTTTTCTTTGGACCTCACATGTTGTTTCTGGCCAGACCTCTTAAATTGTTTGTTTAGGGTTCCTAATCCATGCCCAATCCTAGAACTATTTGGTTATGCC